TGGAGACGACCTGAAAATCATAAGTTGAATGGTCAATTAGAGCCACTTTAATCCTAAGGGTCATAGTGACTAAATTAAGAAAGTATAGGGACTGTATTAAGATACCATTAATAGTTGCTGATAAATGTAAGGTTTCCCTTTTACTTTTTTTCAAGTTTCAAATTTTTATTTATTTTTTTTTTATAAAAAAAAAAACCATACTTTATTACCATACAACTACTAATATTCTTCTTGCAGCAAAGCCAGATTAGCTCGGAATCAGAGACCATTATTTGATGCGAAAGAGCTAGGGATTATTCTATTCTTCGTAAGTTAAAAGGTTGAGGTGCACATTGAGACTTTTTGAAAAGGGAAAACCTCATAAAAGTCCCCAAGTTTTAGGAGCAATCTCAATTAGATCTTCAACATATCAATAAATTTTCAATGAGATACTTTCATTAATTTCAGCTAAAAAAATTAATAAGTAATTACATGAAAATCACATGATTTTTATTTTTTCATATATAATCACCAAATATTTTAAAACCCGTACTTTGCAAATGTCAAAATTCATGTTAGAGACCAATCTATATACAAAAGATAAAGCTTTTTTTTTTTTTTTAGCCTATTCTAGTACGTGATGGGAAGGATTTAGTAAATTTATGGGTTTTCAGTGGAAAAAAGAAAATTACAATTTATGAGATTCACAAGACTATTTAGGGGGAAAACAAATTAGGGGAGGCGATCACCTCCCTCACCCTCTAGCTCCGCCATTGATTGGGTTGGATGATTTAAGAGAAACTTATTTTGTATTATTTAAGGTTTTACATATACATGTAAGTAAAAAAGAAAAAAGAAAACTTATTGTTTAGGTATTGATATTGGGAAATATAATAGTAATTTTACTATGTTAATATCTTTCTTATTTAGGAGATGGAGTAAGATTACATATTTTGTGTTATTTAAGGTTATAATGTGAAGAATATAATAGTTTATAAAAGGTTCATGTTTTTATATAAAATTTAGATTATATCTATATTTGAAAAACTTTTGTTGTTGATATAAAAAGAAAAGTAAGCGATGACACTGTGCAAACTAATTAAGCTACGCTAAATTTTCAAATTTGTGTTAGGAAAGAAAATAAAAGTTAGCATTATGACAAGAAACGGATCTTGATAAGAAAAAGAAGAAGAAGCATTATAATGCTATTAGAATACCTGATTTAATCATTAAGTTGGTAAAAAATTAAGGATAAATATGAATATACCCATTTGTCTTTATATAATACTTAAAATCTTTCATTTATCTTTACATTTCTAATTACATATCGTCTATCTCTAAAATTATTTGAAATATTTAATCTGTCATTTTGATTAATTTTTTTGACTATATAATTTTGTTTTTACTGAAATACTCCAAATTGAAATAAAAAAAATCTAAAATCTAAAATCTAAAATCTAAAGACTTAAAAATAGAAAATATAGGTCTTTGTGACTTGAAGTGTTTTTCTTTTTTCAATTTTTTTTGCATATTAGTAAAAGGTATTTTGATAAAAATTTTTTGTCAATTATCGGAAAAAATGATTGAAAGAGCATATTGAATATTTTAAAATTTTTTAGAGACAAATGAAATGCAATTGAAAATTTAGAGACGAGATAAAATATTTTAAATATTATATAAAACTAGTAGATATATTTACATAAAATTTAAAAATATTTTTGTTTCAAATGTTTTTGACATAGTTGGTGTTTTATATATTGTTATATATTGATGTATGGAGGATAACTAAAAATTAGTAGTTGAATGATCAAGTAGAGCCGCTTTTATGTAAATGGGTAATAATGACTAAATTAAGAGAGTATAGAGATTATATTGAGGCACTATTAATAATTGGGGGATGAATATAAGGTTTTCTCTTTTATTCTCATTTTTCTATTTTTCTATAGGTTTCAACTTTCAAGAAAACGCTACAATTATCAAACACTTAATATTATTAGTCGTTATAGCAAAGCCAAAGTAGCTCGGAATTGAAGGCCACTATTTGGATACCAAAGATCTATATATGAATTATTCTATTCTTTTTAACTAAAAAAGTTGAGGTGCATATTGAGATTTTTTGGAATGGGCAAACCTCATAAAAGTCCTTAAGCTATAGGAGCAATGTCAATTACATTTCCAATATATTTATGAATTTGAAGTAATTTTTTCATTAGGTTTTACTAACAAAATGTTAGTGTAGGTGATCTAAATCCAACTTGTTTGATTGATTTGATGTATTGTATCATTGTATTTTAATATTAATAAAGGATTTTTTTATTAATTCTTATTATTTATAATTTGATGGAATTAGATAGAAGTTCATATGATATGCATTGCATTAATGATTGATCGATAGATGTGAGACAAATATCAATACACATAAATAATATCATTAAATATCACAAGTCATAGTATTGTCAAGATTGGAGATTAACAATATGCGATAAGACTTGTGAGTATTATACTCTTGCTATAAAATAATAGTAGGAGATTTTACACCTATTGACACGGAGATGCTAAAGAAAGCACTCGAGTGAATAATGTTAAAGAATATATCACTAGATGTTACTCATCATGAGAACCCATTTGGTTTAGTCTATGAGAATCTTATACGGAATAGCAACAAGTAGTCTTTTGACTTGAAGTTATCACGGTTATATCATTAGAGGATTCATGTATTTTGACATTCGTTTCGATGGGCTCAATAAAGAGCCGCATATGGGTGATTCGTTGGGAGTATTATGAATCTAATGGAGATAGGTGGATGATCGAGATAGAATATGTCATTCCTTATATGCTGAATGAGTTATCACATTACACTTCGATGAATGTCCGTTAAAAAATCTATGACCACTATGGAAATATACCAATACGGAATAATTGGTTTACTTGAGAGTTAAGACATTTGAAGATCTAAGAAAACTTGTGTGATCGTAATCGAACAAACTATAAATCAAGTTTAAGATCACACTTGTGATAAATTGATATGAGGACTCGAATTATATGAAAACCATGCTCGTGAAAGGTTATTGTGAATCTAGTAATCCTTTTAGAGAATTAGGTAGTCATGATGCCTCTTTAGAGACTAATCTTGATAAATGTATCAAGAAATAAAAGAAATATCTTTTATCTTCTTGATATATTACCAACATATCTAGGAGCCTATTGAGTCACACACATAAGTTTAAACATTCACACGATAAAATAGAAGCAAAGGTTTTGAAAAAAGTTTTTTGTTTTGGAAAAGTTTCCTATTTTGAAAAATCGGTTTCCTAAGATAAAAATCAGTTTCCTATTTTGAAAATTAGTTTTCAAATATGAAAGTTAGTTACCTAAATGAAAATCAGTTTCCTAATTTAGGTTTAAAGGTAATTTGAGAAAATATTTCCTAATGTGGGCCTCCCTAAAAATACTTGACCCAATTTATTTGGATGGTCCAAATTAATTGATGAATAATTGGGCTAAAAGAGTTAGGGTCAATAGATTTAATTAAAAAGCCTACAATATATTTTTGATAGATGGATAATCTTGAGTATTAAAGGATAAAGCTCGAGTTTACAAAGATAAGGTTAAATTAAGCTCACACAAGCAACAACTCCTTTTCTAAGGAGTTATTGCCGCTTATATATATAAGACAGGGAAGAGAGACACGACATAAGACTCCCAAAAGGGAAAAGTGTGCGTCTCTCCCCTAAAAGAAAATGATAAAAGTTGCTGCATCTTTTCTCTCCAAAATTGATGCAAAAGCCTTAATGTGATTTATTGAGAGAAGATTATACAAAGTAGAAAAGTTAGAGCTAGCACACTACGATTTACGTTGCTTCTGTGTGAGTATTTGATTGCGTAGATCATCGGTAGAGACCAAACGCTTGGACGATTCCTTCCATAAAATTTGAATTCCGCGCTTCAAGAGGTAACTCCTAATCATCTAGTTGTTAATATAATTAGTTGATTTACCGATTGATCTTGAGAATTTTAGATAGACAAGAACAAAAATTTTTTATTTCATACATTCACAAGATGCATGATCCTTATTAAATTGATTTTTATTTTTCAGGCCAAATTAAATATGTAAATAAAACTTTTATATTTATTTTATACAACTCTGTCCTAGCATGTGATGTGAGAGATTTTAATAAAATTATAAATTTTTGATGGAAAAAAGAGAAAATATTGGATTTCACATAATTGTTTAACATTTTTTTTTTTAAATGAAACCAATGAAAAGATCCAAGTTAGGATTTATTGATACATTAGAGACCTAAAAGAGATGAAAATCAGATTATGCGCCTAATGTGATTGCCCTACTGGGGACTTTTTTTAGGTTTACCTTTTCGAAAACAAGACATATTAGGCAATTTTAAATTAAGATAAATATATTAATCTTTCTTTATATAATATCTAAAAAATTTTATCCGTCTTAAATTTTTAATTACATCCTATCTATTTTTGAAAGTTTAATTTGTCATTTCAATCAAATTTTGCAACAATGACAAATTTATTTTGACATAAATACTCTTTACTAAAAAAACTTAAAATTACATGATTTAAATGTTTTATTTTTTGAAATATTTAGATTTTTTTTACAATTCAATTAGAGGTATTTTGGTGAAAAAAAAAACCTCAATAAAAAAGATATATTAGCTTTTCAAAAAATTTAAAAAACACATAACATATAATTAAAAATCTAGAAATAGAAATTAGATTTTGGGTATTATAGAAAGATAAAATGATGTATTTACCCTTTAAACTGTAGAGACGTGGAAAGATGAATCCGCATGGGTAAAAACGAAGTATACCCTTGCAGCCTGAGCACGCTATTATCAGTAAGCTAATCTCAATCAAAACATTACACAAAAATCTTTATATATATATAACCCTCTTCTCACTGATTTACTAACTCATCCTCTCTCTCTTTCTACCAAAGGATTAGGGTTTATCACTTTCTCTCCCCACAAAATTCCCCTTCTTCTACCTGTCGAATGTCGATACAAATGGATCCGACGAAGAAGCGTAAGCTCGATGAAAACGGCATCGTATCATCCACCACCGACGTAGACTCTCTCTACAAACTGACCCCTCAAGACGCCCGCAAGATGATGGAACGCTTCACACCAGACCAACTCCTCGATATTCTTCAAAACGCCCTCGTCCGCCACCCAGACGTCCTTGATGCCGTACGATCCATCGCAGACCCCGATGCCACGCAACGGAAGCTCTTTATCCGCGGCCTTGGCTGGGAAACAACAACGGAAAATCTTCGTAATCTCTTCTCTACTTACGGCGAATTAGAAGAAGCGGTTGTAATCCTCGATAAAAACACCGGAAAGTCGAAAGGTTACGGCTTTGTTATCTATAAGCATGTGGATGGTGCGTTATTGGCTTTGAAAGAGCCTAGTAAGAAAATTGATGGGCGCGTGACAGTCACTCAGTTAGCGATAGCAGGGAATTCTGGTGCCAATAATAACAATTCCGCCGCGAATCCTGGCGTTGCTGATGTAGCAATGCGGAAGATTTATGTAGCTAATGTACCGTATGAAATGCCGGCCGATAAGTTGTTGAATCTTTTTGCGCAGTATGGGGAGATCGAGGAAGGTCCGTTAGGTTTTGATAAGCAGACAGGGAAATCAAAAGGGTTTGCGCTTTTCGTTTATAAGACGGCAGAAGGAGCGCAGGCAGCTTTATTAGAGCCGGTGAAGATGATTGAAGGGAGGCAGTTGAACTGTAAGTTAGCAATCGATGGCAAAAGAGGGAGGCAGCCTGGTGGTGGCCCAGGACAGGGGCAAGATGGATTGCAAGGACAAGTGCCGGGTGGGAATGTGCATGGAGATGGTGGATTGGGGATGGTGCCGCAGACAGGTTATGCTGGGCCAGGTGGATATGGTTCTTATGGTGGTGGGTTTTCCAGTGGTGTGCCGCCAATGGGTGGTCATCAGCAGCAGCACCATCATCCTGCTGCTCCTTTGAATACTTCAATGGTTGGGCCAGGGTTGGGGTCTCAGGGGGTAAGTAGTTTGAGTGGTACTGGGGGTAGTGGTTATGGTGCACCTTACGGTGGGTATGGTGGACCAGGTTCTACAGGATATGGTGGGTTAGGTGCTGCTGGTGGTGCTGCCGGTGTTGGTGCTTCTGGCAGTGCTTCTTCATTGTATAGGTTGCCGCCGACTTCAGTTGGAATGCCTACTGGTGGATATCCAGAACCTGGGCAGTATAGCTTGTCATCATCAAATGCTTCATTTCCAACTCAGCATCAGGGAGCATCCCCTGTTCCAAGGGTTCCACCTGGGGGAATGTATCCAAATTTGCCTCCTTACTATTAAGGTAGTACATTGGATTCAAGTTTATCTTCTGTGTGATTTCTTGCGTTATTTGGTACTGTTGAATTTTCTATGTGTGCTTGATGTTGGGGTGGATTCTTTTTCTTGTTATTTGCTTGGTGTGTTTGCTTTGCTTTGTGCAAAACTTGTGTGTGTTTGTTCATTGTATGATTTGGCTATAGTATGTGCTTTTATGTGGTTTATGTTGATTTCTCTGACCTCCATTATTGGGTCATGCTATGGGGTGATCTTGTGTGTTCCTTGATTATGTTCATGTGATTTGTTGTTCATCTATTCCATGTGCCCCTAGTGGTTTTCTATGTTGTCCATTGTTATGCATCCTGTCTTCTCTATATTTGTGCCTCCACTCTGCTGAAATGTTTGTCAATTGGTGGAACATAATCAAATGTCTAAGAATCAGATACGTTTGCATTATGGATGGTCATGTATCTGGATATTCCAACCTGGAATGATGGAGGTGTAGAAGCAGCTTGTTGGCCTCATAATTTTGGACCTCTCTGTTATTTGTTTTGACTATGTGGTTAATATCAGTCTGTTTAGGCTTTGGGTTGATAATTTTACCTAGTTAGATGAAAGTATAAAATGGGAAAGAAAACTTGTAGTCTTTTTTGGTTTGAGGGAATAGGGGAATGGAAGTGAAAAGGACTAAAATTTCCCTCAACTTGAGTGGTAGGTGGAGATATTTTGAAATGGAAGAATTTGATGTTCGAATTTATACCATGAATGCCCACTAAACCATTTCTTTTGTCTGCCTATTTTAACTCCTCCCCCTCCACCATGTTTAAGTTACTGAGTTGTTCTTGGACATTGGTATGAAATAGTTATGAGCCATGATAGTTCTTTTGTTGCAACTAGGAAGAATAGTAAGGCTCCGTTTGTTTCATGTAAAATAAATTGTTTTCTGAAATTAGGTTATTTGTCACGGTTTGTTTATGTTAATGAAAACTACCTGAAAATAATTGTTTGGTGTTTGGTATGAATGAAAAATAAGCGCTAAAAAAGAAAAGACGAGAATTAATGAGTGGTGGTGCAGAGTTACCTAATTCACCCACCTGCTTTGGGAAGCAAAGAAAGAAAGGTTATAATTTTGCAGAGCTGGAGAAAAAACAAAAGGTTTTTGAGAAAGAAATTTGCATGCTATTTTCTAGGGTCTAAGAAAAATTCTTGTTTGAAAGTTTTAGTCTACATTTACTAAGACAATACTTCTATCTTTTGATTATACACATATGGAAGACCTGCTTAAAAAAAAAACCACTACTTGAAATAGCGATAATAAGTCTACCTTCTCCTTACTGTGTTCTGAGGGGTTAGCGAACTGGGTGCCCATGCACGCATTGCATACCATAACTTACCACATTCCAACATTGAGTGGTGCTAGAGTTTCTTGGAATGCAGTATGCTGTGATACGCAGTTTGCTACCCTCTCTGGAACATGGTACGAGGGGGTAGGCTTAGTTGGGTCATTATTTTGGGTTGTGTTTCATTTTTATTCAGGTAGTCCATTTATAAATGTCATAATTATATGGTTGCAAGTAGATTAAAACTTCCAAACAAGATATTTTCCATCCCTGTCTTTTGAAATTAGCTTACAAATCACCCCCCCCCCCACCCCAAAAAAAAAAAAATCTCTTGATCTTCTCCAGGAACAGTTCTACAGAATTATCTCCTTTCCTCCTTTTTTTTTTTTTTAAAAGTTAAGTTGTTCCTTGTTGATTGATATGGAGCAAGGACTCAGTCTAAAAGGAGATGAAAAGTCCAATCTAAATATGCAACCTGTTAGATTCCCATTAGTAACAGATTTCTACAAATTAGAATATTTCCTTTCTTGTCTAGGTTTTACACCTTTATTGCTATATTTAAACACAAATTCTTGTAAATCTACAATATAGTATAACTAAAAAAAAAAAAAAAGGATAGCCAATTTTCACGATTTGAGTAGGCAACAGAACACAATTGGGATTGTTTGATCCGGATTGAAATTTCAGGAGGTGAGCGAAATATGTAACACTGGGTGGTGCCCATGATTTAATAACAATGATTGTCTTGTAAAATGCTTTCATCTCTCAAGAATTGGAAGTTTTCTTTTATTTTTAAGCTTTTATCTTTCCTTCAACTGTAAAATATTTTCCATGTTTGGCTTATTGAAAAATATTTTATGGAAGCAAACAGAGATGAAAGTGTGGTCAATGAAAAATATTTTTCAGAAACATATTTTATTTGAAACAAACCGGGATGTAAATTTACAACTTACAGTACTTTTTTCCTTTGTTGAGTTCCATCTAGCTCCTATAAACACGTGTGAACAGCATAAGTTGGTTATATATCCGCTTATTTTCTCTTGTTCCCTCAATTTTTTTTTGGACCATGGCATGAGGCTGAAAAGAAGTGATGGTAATTTCTCGTGGCTAGTAGCATGGAAGTCTTGCATTGACCACAACTTTCTTTTTGTGAAATAAGTACTTGTCATTGGCTTTATTTGTGATGATTTGTTGTTTGTCTGGTGTCCCTCTCAGTCTGCAACGTTTTTTCCCCCTCTAAAGTGTTGCTGTTGTTTTGTCCTACCTTTCCTTGTATGAAGAACTAGGTCGAATATTGGCTCTTCATGTGCAAACTTGGATGGAAACTTGTACGAATCTTCAAATATATTTGCTGGTGTCAACTGTAGCCTTGTGCAGCTGTGCTTGTGTGGTTGGATTGTTGGTTTTTGTTCTTATGAAGATTTCATTTTTCATTTTTTTATCTTATCTTCATCTTTTTTCCCATTTGAAAAGTTTCTCTTCCTATATTGAAACTCTTCATGACCTGTTGTAGTAACCGTACATTGACATTAATGTTGAATCTTTCTGCGTTTGTTTGTACTCTTTAAGCCATTGTATTTTTATGTAACACTCTTCATCTGGTGGTTTTCTTCAGCTGCTTGACATGACTATTTATCAGTGTTTCTTGTAATTTTCCTTACAAAGATTCTATTAGTGTTTTGTTAGTTTGTTTTGTTTTGTTTAGTTGCTTCAAGTTATCATGAGCTTTGTTTTGTGTGATGGATGTTGAATGATCAATTGAGTTGTGCATGGGTGTTTGATTCAGGTGTATGACAGCTTGTTGGGCGCAGATGCTTTTTGTGGTACTCGTGATTGCCTGATTGCAGACTATAGGGTCTCTGGTTGATGAATGTATTAGCTGTGCTTTTACGTCCGCTTCTTCACTTCATCTGCACTTTTAACTGTTGTTCATTTTTTTAGTGTTGTTTGTTCTTTTTAGATAAACGAGTGTTGGTTGTTAAGATGACTGAATTGACTAGTCTTTGTACCCTTGTCAGAAGCTATGCGAAACTTGGAATTATATCAACAAGACATTGAGTATTGACAATATATCTTCCTTGTGCAAATGTGAATTATGCTTGCTTTTGATACTTTACTTGCAAGGTTCACTTCATGGTGGTTGGTATAGATTTTGTAATTTTTTGTTACGCTATTTCTCTGAAAAGTTCTGTACTTGTATTTGCTGTTGCATACCTTTTTGGCTATTGCACCACATACTTACATTTACATAGGTCTATATATCCCATGCTAATACCAGATCTTATGGGGAATCAGACATTACTACTCGTCCAGACAAATCAAATGTTTTATGTTTTCTTTCTGGAAAAAAAAATGTGGTGGAATCGTGACATTGCTCATACTTGGGGTTTTTATGATTTTAGCCAACAAGGAACCTTATAGAATGAATTACATCATGTACTTTATTGTAAATTTTTATCATACACAGCCAGTTCTTTAGTTAAGGTCTTTTTTCATAAGGTTGCTTTTTTTTTTTAATTATTAAATCTAGTGATTTTCTGAAAATGTCCTTGGGTAGCAGAATCCGGTCTCCTTGCTCTGTAAGGTTTTTCTTTGATTGTGTTATGAAGATGTGATTGGGCAATAGATGCCAGTTTTCTTGTTCAAGCATTTTTGCTTCAACAACTGAAGCCTCCTTATTATACATCATCTAATTCTTGAGTTTTCTACGTTTTGTAAAGGTTGCTTATTTTTTTCTTTTTGTCTTCCAAGGCGTATTCAGGCAATTGATGTTGGTAATGAAAAGTTTGTTTTTGTTCAAGCTTTTGTTTTTAAAGCAATGCTTCATTCAACTACAACTTAAGATTGCGGTCTAATGAGCATTGATAATGTAATTGTTCAATAATGTAAACTCTATAATCCCGTAGCCAGTGACCTCCCTTGGCATGTGTCCACTTGTGGAAACCACACCGATGATGTTTGTTTGTGAACATTCCCACCAAATTTAATTTTATATGTTCAACTAGCCTTTGGGTGTTTTGGCCAATAACTGCTGGTATGGGCATTGGGTTTTTGTTAATGGATTTCTAATGATGATGATGCAAAAATTTAATAAGAGAGTGGTTTTAATGGATTTTTTCTTACTGGCATTGAGCTCGGTTGATTTTCATTCAAGTCACTCCTGAAGTTGCCTGCTTAGTGACACTGAATTGATTGATAGATTTGCTCACTGGGTATGTGTGTGCGAATGTGCATGCACGATTATGCACTTACATTGTTTACTTGAAGATAATGCAGCTTAGTTTGCTGTATTGTAACAACATTAGACGATGTATTTGATTGTGCTTCACCAGAGCTACTCAGTGGTTAACTATTCCCTTTTGCTGTTGGAGATTGACTTGTTAATTTAATGTTACTAGAATTATGTGCACTAGATTGGTGGAACTTGTCTTTTGATGAGAAGTAGAACATGTTGGTTAAATTGGCCAGCATCATTTTTCTGTTTGCTTTTTCCATAGGATAGCCTTCTATCTGTCGCTTCAGTACTTAGTTTGTGTACCTTAGTCTATTTACTTCTATTGGGTGTTGCCAGCTCATCCTCCATTCTTCTTATGCCTATGCCAGAGCGGGTATGCGTGTTTTTTGTGTATGTCTTCTAGCTGCATTTAATAACCAAATCTCCTTGAACATAATTATTTTAGTTTTAAAAACATTTTTGAAATATTCCTTTCTTGAGGTTGGCTGTTTTCTTCTTACATTTCTTTGTTGTTTCCTTGTGAGAAGAGAACAACATAGATGTTCGTGTTCCAGTGTTAGTTTCACTGATATTAGGTGCCTAGAAAAGGTCATCAACAATTCTCATGCTAAGATGCTGCTAGGAAGTGCGTTGGACACTATTAATATTAGATACTTTTGCTGTAAAATTAGGTGCTCCAGAATCCGTTGGTTTCTGCCAAATACAATGGTCTGGAATGCCTTTATAAAAAGTGTGATTCAGCACCTATATCCTAACAACTATCATCCCTTTTTTCACTTTTTTTTTATCTTTCTTTGCATTTTGGTGAGAGGAAATATGAGATGACAATGTTCAAACTTCGAAGGCAAAATGGGGGAGATGGCTTTGGTGACATGCATAGAATATGAGGGGTACAGGCAGGTTGAGGATTAGACCTACTGTATTCCATGGAGATGGGATATCATGAAGGAGGGTTGCTATGTGCCAGCAGTTTCAACACCTAATCTGGTTGTTATTGCGGAAGCTGTAGTAGCTAGGTGGTGGATACTTGACCAATGTTTCGAAGTTGCTATCCATTTTGTTGGAGTAGAGCAGAGAAAGATCAACCAAGTTTTACTGACACTCGTTACTCACTAGAGCTGGACGTGTTGATGGAAATAGTTAACTTAGAGGGTATTTTGGAATAATTCTCAGAAACAGTTGGTGCAAATATGTACGTTTGACCATGATTATTATGCCACGATCTAATTTCTTGTAAATTGATGGATTCTGTGGTTGTTCTCCAGGCATACATACATATATATATATATATATTTTTTTTCCTTTGTCAACAAGTGGGTTGGAGATTCTAATTTTATGGTCTCGTATGGAACGAAGACTAAAGCTGCAAGCCTGAAAAGAACATTTCAAGTTTTTTTTTCCGTTCGAGGGTAAATAAAAATGACAAGAAAAGTGAATAAAGAGGATCGTATTGCTGCGGCCTAAGCGCCTTAACGATCAAACCGAAGTGCTGACGAGGCAGGGCTTTTGCCTAGATCAAGGAGCATTCCAAGAATAATAATTGCAAAACACATGAAGGTCAATTCCATGCCAAAGCACATTTTTCACCATTCCAATTCAAATTGGAGGGGAGCTCTGGCAATTGGCAGGTCTTGCTTTTGGCAGTAATTTCACTATTATTATTAAGAATCGGAAGGGAGCAGTCATGGTTCTGTTTGGTGGTTTTCCTACAATTTCTAGCGTGTTTTTGGCTGTCTAATGCATGCCAATAGTGCTACCTACTCAGAGTTGGGGGTTTGACGCTTAGTTTGGAGCTTTTCTGACCTGCATCTAAGCAACTTAGCTAAAATAGCTAGCAAGGTTCTCCAGCAGGCACAATATTGTGACTTTCCTGAGCCCTTGCCTGAGATACAACAAACCGAAAGCAAAGCAAAAACAAAAACAAAAACATAACAGGACTTCGGTAGTACCCCTATACTTTTTGTTATATCTCGGCTAAATAACTCAATTTATCTCTATATAATATAATAGTCTGAATTTTCAATATTTTTCAATATTTTTAATTGAATCTATTATGTCTTTTAATAATATATAAGTTCTCAATCTGTTTTTTTAATTAATTTTTTCAATTACAAACAATTTTTAACCGAAATATCCCTAACTCAAATGCTGTAAAAAAAAAAAAAAACATGTAGATTGTGTAACTTTGAGTTTTTTCTTTCAGTAATAGTGTTTTGGTTAATTTTTTTTTCATAGTTAGAACTTGAAATGATAGATTGAAATTTAAATATTATTTAAGAATATAGTAGATGTAATTACAAATATAAAAACAAATTGAAGAGTATTATATAAAAACAGATTAAACTATTTATTCTTATATCACACAAGTCGCTGTATCCTTCCGGTACATCCTATGGTAAATTCTCAATTTGAACTTTCCTATTTACTGGAACCAATAAATGCTCCAGCTCAAAAAAGAAGATGCTCTTGATTAAGAATGGCTGCTAATTTATAAGAGAATATATCTTTCCCTCCGCACTGTCCCTTATCATCCTTTCTGTTATAGAGAGAAACCAAATGCTATCTCGCTCTTCGGTTTCTCTATGCCAAAATTTGGTCACGGAGCATTATGCATACAATGTAGAGGCTTGAGGAGTTCATACTAATGTCTACATGGTCTTCTTTAATCGATATGTTCTCTCTCTCTCTCTCTCTCTCTCTCTTCTTCCTTGTGCCAAGTCTCCTAGCTTGGCGTATTTCACTCACTGTCTTGTTAAAAAAAATATAAATTCAGTGTGAATTATCATTCTTGGAATTGGAACCTAAATTTTCTTCAGAAATTTTGTTAAAGCTAGGGTAAGTATAGGAACACAAGGAGACAGCATGCTGCTAGTGTTTTGACTGTAAATGTCTGAGTTTGTCGCGCATCGTATGGATTGGTGACTGGATCTTGTCATGGTAGAAGAGCAGGGGAAGCTGGAAGCATGCAATCCATTGACACAGAAGTAGGCCCAAAAAAAAAAAAAAAAAACTAACGTTATTTTCAAATTTATCTAGAGGATTAAATTGGAAGAACCGGAGAGTATTTAGCTTGGAAGTTGGATATAGTTGACGCTTATCTCTTCTTAACCCCAACATTTAGAACCTAATATAGCAATTTTATCACTCTGCCAAAATAAACCAGGTCCTATTTCTACCAAAATAAAAACGAGTCTTCTAAGATTATGGATTTTTTTTTTTATCTTTAATGGGAAATGGCATTCATTCAAAGTGGCAAAAAACATCAAAGTGCAATTTCATTCAGGCTACAACGGAGGATAATTATCTCCTTAACACTATTATACACCAAGCAATGAAGCGCAGAAGCAAGTCCCATGTGCTAAGATTTCTTGTCGACTTCACTAAGCATTTGCAGGATCATTTATAACCCCCAAGAAATCATCCTTTATGGTGCCAATGCAGAACTGCAAGAAAAAGGATAGTGGCAGGCATTAGATGAGCAATGCACAGCAGCAAAAACCATTGCTTGACCAACAAACAGAAAAGTTTCAAATGTTGACCCCTGCAAACCACATTTTAGAAGGTTCAAGGTTTTTCAAGTTCTCAGAAGTCAAAAGCTCTCCTAACTATGCTCCTTTAAAATATTAAACAACCAAATTATCATATATCCAAAATAATCTAACAAAATTCATTAATATCTAGATCACATTTGTACAGAGCAACATCATCACTATAACTAGACTATTCCCCACAAGAATGGCAAATGGGTGCCACCTGCAACACAAGAGCACTCAGGCCATAAAAATCAAAATACACATGGAATATTTCTACATTTGGTGAAGGTAGCATTCATGGGAAAATGTTGATTCTGCAGACATAGTATATGCTTTATGTTCCGATGTTGAGTGCTTATTTCAATAATTTCATTTTTAGAAGATACTTTTACTGACACAAGAAATTGTTTCAATGGTGCACTCTCGTTCCCTTTTTCAGATATATACAATATACTCCAATACAAGCACCAACCAAAAGTTCAACTATTTAATAACTGTTGACAGATTCTCAGAATTAATCGCTTTGCTCCTTGTACCAAAGGGAGTAATATTCTTAGTTTTTTTTTCCCTTTCCTTTTTGATAGAAGGCTTTCGTTAGTCCTTTCAGAGTTCACACTTAATCATAGGAACCAACACCCTTATTGGATAATCCCTGGTGAAAAGAAACAGCACACAAGCAAAACACACTTGTACACCTCCACTTACAAAATATATTACACCTATAGCATATAGCTTCTAGGAGCATATTGTACATCTAAAGAATAAGTTAATGATGATACTGGGGAATTATCACCTATACCTATAACACCAAAAGATGATTATCAATGTCTAGTAAAAGAAGACATCATTAAGTTCTGAGTTTAGCTGGCTGACTCTATAACTCAAAGTTCTTATTACTTGCAATTCTCACTCATAAATATGGATTAGTCCCATTTCTTTGAAAGAGGACTATAGAGCTATGCAACAGAGTTGGAATGAGCTGGCAAGTTCATGAAAATAAAACTCATTGCATTTGTAAAGGATATCTCAAAGATTTTTAAAAGAAAGAAATAAAATTTGGACTGGCAGTTTTCCTTTAATGATATGGACTCATTTCTCTCTCTGAAAATTTGGACCTATTTAATGGTTGTAGCAGGACATGTAGCAGCAGAGGTTGTTGAGATAAACCCCAAAAGAAAGATGGAATCTACCTTCAGCTACTTCATTTTCCATTCTAAAATCTCTAACCAAGAGTAATTTTTGCTGTTCACCAAATTATTATCACTGTCCTTGATTACTATTTTCCTTCATCACAAGAACCTTCTGAAGGTACCCACAATCTCTCTCTCTCCCCCTCTCTCACTTAAGAAAGTGCACACACTAACAACAACTAAATCTTGTTTAGTAATTTTGTTTAGTGTCTCTCTCTCTCTCTCTTAAAGCAGACATTCTTTTGTGATGATTGCTGTCATTAACCATTGGCTCAGAGGTGGGTTTGATTTTATTGTCAAGACAAAAGGGTAAAAATCTGGTACTTTATGTGACAGCAATACTCCGTATTTTTTTATGACTCTGTTACTAAAGAGCAGCTATCCTGTAATGATTATCACACAAACAGAAATGGTATTGAAGCTATGGCTGACGAGAGGAAATAACCATCGTAAGTTATCAAGCAAATAGAAGAGGTTTAAGTTACGTACAATTTCAGTGGCATCAACACGTGTTCCGATGATCTTCAATCGGACTTCACTATCCTTTTGAATCTTAACCTGAACGACACTCAAGATATTGATTAGAACTTTGTTGTGTAGAGAATAAAAACTAAACTTCTTTAAAAACTAGCTGAAGCTATAGCATACCGATCCATCTGAAGTTGTATAGTTTGGCATATCTCCAGACTGGAACTCCATATCATCCGGTATCAACTGAAACACAAAATGAGAAGGCAAGTTCATAAGTAGGAGATATGGAGACTACACTAACAGTTCACAAATGTATATGCATCGGATATACAGGGACATAGAAAAATACACAGGCTTGAAAAAAAACCAGAGAAAAATATAAAAGCAAGATGGCAAAGCTTACAGCAAAATAGAAGTTTGCTATCATGCAATTAGAATACGTATCAACAAGGCAAGATAAAAAATTAAGTGACAACAAAAAAGTGGCTTTGTTTCATAAAGTCAACTTTTAGCAATATTTCATTTTTTCATGAAATATCTGTTTTGCTTATCACATGAAGCACAAAGGCAAAGATTTCCAGAATTTTGTCTTATAGTAAGGACAGATCAGAAAGCAGAATACCAAAGACAACATTCAATAACTAAATATTGGTTTTCCATCCCAATTCTCCAACCAAACATGACCTTCACTTACTAAGCAAATGGAACATAAGGAACTGGAAAAAAGAAATCCTATGTTTCTCTCATTTTGGCTTCAAAAGAATGATGAACTACAGTCAACTGGGCCAAACAGTTACCATGGATAACAAGATGGTAGTTTCATTTTTCTTTTCTACATCCAAATATTGATGGGGACGTATAATTGTTACCTTGTGAAAATAAGAGATGGGAAACATATAGAATGTATTAAGCAAAGAAAGCAATAACAGATAAAACAATGGTTAAAACCCTTGCAAACTTCAATTAGGTATCAAAATCAAATAAAAATGAAAAACTTACATGGTTTGAAACAAAGATTTGAACTGGCCCAGCTTCAGCAAAAAATCCCATCTGCAAGATTCAGAATATAGTTAGATGTCTACTAACAGCCCAGCAATCCACAAACTATTCAAATGATTCGAATAACTTGTTGGTACGAGAGAAACATATACCTTATTTACCATGGTAACAACAGCTTCTAAAATCTCTCCCTTGAATGGCCTGAACACAACACACTGGTACTTCACCGGAAATGTTACGAATCCCGTCCCATCACGGATCAACCCTTTCCCAATGTTTTCAATGCCTGTTATTGCCACCACAAATCCATGTCGACCACTGCAAAAGTGCAGAGAATTTGTTATAATGGTATCTAAAAACTTGATAATTAATAGAAGGATGAATGGATAATCAATCAAGTACAATAAGGTAAAACATTAAACAATAAATTCTCTTTAGGGTTTTTTTTTCCCGGGTAAAAGATACAATTTTTTTCACTTTCAGTTATCAAGTTCTGTCTTTACTGTTTCATGGAACTTTATCTACATATTTTTTTTTTTTTTTTTGCGAATATACCAAAATTGTTTCATGAGTCACGTAGACTGCTTAACCAAACTAATATGAAGTTATGAAGCAAATTGCCAATTTCTTTTCCCAAACATCCACTCTCGGTCTCAATCTAACACCACCCTCATCTCTTCCTTGTTACAAAGAGAAGTGAAAGAGACCTAATTTAATGGTCGAAATAAGCCAAAGTTGAGTAATTTATTGACTTAGAATTAATTAGTTCCTAAAAAACCCTAACTTTGGTTCAACTCCGATTGCAGAGGAAATAAGTAAAGAAAGAAAAACCCTAACTTTGGTTCAACGCCAATTGCAGTGGAAAAATCGAAAGAAAATAATGAAAAGTAATCCAAATGTAGAAAAGAAACGTGCCTGCAAGTGCCCTCGACATCTTTCATGAGCTTGGAGACAATATTCTCGCGGAGGTTGCGCCCAAAGAAGCGAGGGTGCAATTGCATGTTTCTCTCCAATACTATGTGGAAAAACATCCTTTCCCTTATCTTCTCTACTCTACTTTTTACTATGCCTTTCTGTTTTTATCACCGGAGCAGGAGAAGCCAAAGGCAGCAGCTCCTTCCCAGAATCGGAAAGTCGATGGAGAGAAAGAGAATCAGAAATAAGAGAGAATGATAGATTCCATTCAAACAGACTAGCTCACTCCTTCTATGGCGCCGTCGTGAGCCTCTTCTCCTTTTTCTTAACTTCTGAGGGCCTGTCGCTCTGCTGGTCTCTTCTTCTTCTTCTTTGCTTGTTTTATTTATTTATTTATTTTCATTAAATAATATTATGAAAATTATTCATGATTTTTTTAATGTTATATTAAAATGTTAACAGACTAAAATCAAATCAAGTGCATAATTAAACCAACTTTTTCATTTTTGAAAAAACATTTTAAAATAATTTCCAAAAACGCGAAAATATCATGATCAAATATAAATTTTGCTTTTAATAATAAAAATACAGATATAATTATTTGTGCTTTTGATAGTATAGTGTGCATAACTAAAAAATTTGAAAAATTATAAAATTAAGATGCAACTAATATGTTTGATGAAATAATAAAAAAAAGGTGCATCTAATATGTTTTTGAGAATAAATAAAATAAAATAAATTGTCAAAAAGCATACAAAAACGTTAGTATTGATAATTAACATAGATATGGATGCTTCGAAAACCCCTTATATATTCCCATCAATGGAATTCGTAAATAATACAATACTTGGATTTTTCAATATGTATTACATATTTTCTAAAATATAACAAAAATTCATAAATAATAAAATAGTTTTTTAGAGATATTTTAATATCATGTTTATCTAGCCGTATTCAACATCTTAAATGCAAAGCGAGTTTTTAACATTTTAATTTGTTGCTTCAAATTTAATTTATAGTTTTAGCATTTGCTATTATTTCATTTTAAATAAAAATAATTAAGTCTACTTACTTACAAATTTGGTAAACTTCTAACTCGAAGCCGCATAAAATGAATTCTTCCTTTCCGCTTGTTTTTTTCTTTTCTTTTTTATACACACACATATTATTATTTCTTACTAATAATTAATAATTAGTTTTTTTACATACGCTACGTTACGAATTGGTTAAACTATATAAAATCGTTTTAAAAATTCATTTTAGTTTAATAGTTTGTTTTATACTGGGAATCTATAAAAATATATCAAATCAAAGTTGTAAAAAGTTATTTAATCAAAAATTTTATATTTTACTATTTCTTATTTGTATTTTTCATAATTTTTCCTTTAAAAAAAGGATTCATCCTTGTTAATCCGTGAATTATTAACTAAAGAGAAAATTAAATAATTTTTTTAAAAAAGCTTTAGTATTTCATAAGATTATGTCAAAAAACATAAATAACAATTATTAAAAGCTTACATAGAATTGAACAAATAATTTTTTTTATTTAATGTTGATGAGAATATCGATTTTTGAAAAAATATGAATTTAATTTTTATATATTTATTTACAAAAGAATGAATAATATTAAAATAAAAAAACTAAATTAATTTGAATCATTGAGTGGTTAATCCAAAATATTATTTTAATTATTTAATTTAAAATAAGTTAATTTTAAAACATTCAAAAACAAACAAATAAATAGTAAATGCTTAGTGTAGTAGTAGTTGCATAGCTAATTTCTAAAAAAATAACGATTCAATATTTTTTATACATTATAACTATACTAAGTGAGTTTAGAGTTTTCGAGTCTAAAATAAAAATATTATAAAAAAGTTAACTTGCAAGGAATCTATTGACTAATTTGAAGTTAATAGACTAAAATTAAAATTATCACAAATTTGATTTCGATTAATTTTGATTATATAAAAAAGAAACAAATTAAAAAAACATGTGAATATTTTTTTTCTCCTTCTTAAATATTTTTTTATTTCCATGCTACGCATGGCTAGTCCTTGAATACAGTGCCTCATACGAAAAGCAACCATCTTTGTTTTATTTTTCACATTTGACTTTCAACTATTAATTAATTAATTTAAGTTTTTTTTAAAAACAATGAGAAAAAATTATTTGAAATATACTTTTAATCTAAAAATTTATTTTAGACAAATTATATATATTAATCATGCCACTATAATTTAAAAATTATCTAAATCTACTTTTCAAAAGAAAAAATAATCATATTCTAAAAATCTATTCCAAAATCCATACATATAGAAAAAATAAATCAAAATTGTTAGTACATATAATTTTAAATTAATTGGATGAGAATTTTTAAAAAAATGATAAATTAAAGTAGTAAATTTTAATTAATAAAAGTAATTAACAAAAACACTAAAACAAAATGAGACCAAATCACAATATAATCAAAGTTTGAAATTAAAAAAAAATGATAAATTAATGTAGTAAATATTAAATAATAAAAAATCAAGAAAAAATTATTTGAAAAACACCTTTAATCTAAAAATGTATCTCGGATAAATTACATATATTAATCATACCACTATAATTTAAAAAGTATCTAATTCAATGTTTCAAAAAAAAAAAAAAAAACAAAATCATGTTCTAAAAATTTATTCCAAAATCCATACATATAGAAAATTAATCAAAACTATCAATAAATATAATTTTAAATTAATTGGACGAGAATTTTTTTTAAAAAAAGACAAATTAAAGTAGTAAACTTTAAATAATAAAAATAATTAATAAAAAAACACTAAAAAAAATGGGACAAAATCACAATATAATCAAAGTATGAAATTGGAAAAAGAAAAGAAGAGAATTTAAAAAAATGACAAATTAATGTAGTAAATTTTAAATAATAAAAATAATTAACAAAAAACACTAAAACAAAATGGACCAAATCACAATATAATTAAAGTTTGAAATTTAAAAAAAAAAGAAGAGAATTTCAAAAAAATGACAAATTAAAGTAGTAAATTTTAAATAATAAAAATAACTAACAAATTAAAGTTTGAAATTGAAAAACAAAAAAAGAATTTTAAAAAATGACAAATTAAAGTAGTAAATTTTACATAATAAAAATAATTAACAAAAAACACTAAAACTAAATAGGACCAAATAACAATATAATTAAAGTTTGAAATTAAAAAAAATAGAAAAAGTGAGAACCAAAGTGTTAAAAAATGACATGAATAGTGAAATGAATAATGGTTTGTGAGTGTGTGAATAGTATTTTAAATAGTAAAATGAATACTAAACTTATGTTTTACTACTTTTTTTGCTCGCGCTATGTCAGCGGGTTGGATAAAATATATAAAATTATTTAAAAAAATTATTTCAATTTGATAGTCTATTTTATGGTATAAATCTATAAAAATATATAAAATCAAAGATGAAAAAAATTATTTATAATTTTTTAATAAAAAAGTTTGTATTTAACTATTTCTTATTTGTGCTTTTCATAATTTTTTCTTTAGAAAAACAATTTATCCTTGTTAATACATGGATTATTTACTAAAAATAAAATTAAATATATTTTTTTAAAAAAGTCTGTAGTATTTCATAAGAGTGCGTTGAAAAATAAAATAAAAACTATTAAAAGCTTAAATAGAATTGAACAAATAGTTTTTTTTTTATTTAATATTGATGAGAATATCGATTTTTGAAAAGATGTGAATTTAATTTTTATATATTTATTTATAAAAGAATGAATAATATTAAAATAAAAAACTACATTAATTTGAATTATTGAGTAGTTAAGTCAAAACATAATTTTAATTACTTAATTTAAAAAAAATAATTTTAAAATATTCAAAAATAAATAAATAAATAGTAAATGCTTGGTGAAATAGTTCCATAATTAATTTCTAAAAAAACAACAATTTAATATTTTATACTTAGTGAGTTTAGAGTTTTCGAGTCTAAAACAAAAAATACTATAAAAAAATAACTTACAAGGAATCTATTGACCAAATTTGAAGTTAATAGACTAAAATAAAAATTATCACAAATTTGATTTTGATTAATTTTGACTATAGAAAGAAGAAAAAAATTAATAAAACATGTGAATTTTTGTTTTCCCTCTTTCTTAAATAATTCTTTATTTCTATGCTATGTATGACTAGTCCTTGAATACGGGTCTCATGCATAGAGCAATCATCTTTTTTTTTTTTTTTTTTTTTACATTTGACTTTCAACTATTAATTAACTAATTAGAGATTTTTTAGAAAAAAACCAAGAAAAAATAATTTGAAATACACTTTTAATCTAAAAATTTATTTAGACAAATTATATATACTAATCATGCCACTATAATTTAAAAATTATCTAAATCTATTTTTTAAAAGAAAAAATAATTATTTTCTAAAAATTTATTCAAAATCCATACATATAGAAAAAAAAATCAAAATTGTCAGTAAATATAATTTTAAATAAATTGAATGAGAATTTAAAAAAAATGACAAATTAAAGTAATAAATTTTAAATAATAAAAATAATTAACAAAAACAATAAAAAAGGATCAAATCACAATAAAATTAAAGTGTGAAATCGAAAACAAAATGTATAGAAAAATTGAGGAACATAAAATTTTAAATTAATTGTATGAGAATTAAAAAAATAAAAAATTAAAGTAGTAAATTTTAAATAATAAAAATAATTAACAAAAAACACTAAAACAAAATGGGATCGAATCATAATACAATTAAAGTTTAAAATTAAAAAAAAAAGTATAAAAAAATTGAGGACTAAAAAATTATTTCTGAAAAATTATACATATTAACTATGCCACTATAATTTAAAAATTATCTAAATCTATTTTTTGAAAGAAAAAAATAATCATGTTCTAAAAATTTATTCCAAAATCTGTACACATAGAAAAATAAATCAAAATTGTCAGTAAATATAATTTTAAATTAATTGGATGAGAATCTAAAAAAAATGACAAATTAAACTAGTAAATTTTAAATAATAAAAATCATTAACGAAAAACATTAAAACAAAATGGGAGCAAATCATAATACAA